TGATAGATATAAACCATGCAAATAATTGTCAAGTCTTGTTGATTTTTTATGTCTAACTGTCAAATTAAAAAAAAATAGATTTATTATAAAAATCAGTTTAGCAAACTTTTTCGAATGTTCTGCTAAAAACCTAAGCTCCCTGAACAGTGTGTCAATCACAGATTTTTATTGTAATGCATTGAAAATGCCTCAAAATTAATAATCACTCATATTAAAGTAATAATAAATACTTACCTTCAAAATTTATTGAAACAGAATTCTATATCATATGAAACTAATTCAGTAATATTTCAAGATCATTTTTCAATATAACAAGTACTTTTGAAAAATAATAAAAAAAAGTTATAGGAAAAAAGTTATGTATATATTAGAATAATAAGTCAATGAACTTAACTAAAATATAAACTTGTAAATTTTTCGAAGATTTACTCTTATCTAGAGTTAGGTGTAAGTCAAACTTTTTGTCAAAGGCAAACTTTTAAATAAAAATACTTACTTTCTGAAGACGATGATCTTCTATAAGAGGTTCTTGCAAAAGAATTTCTCGGCGAGGTATCGAACTAGTCTCTTATAAGCAGTATTTATACCATCTCTTGACTCAAAAACAGAGGAAAAAAAATATTTCAAATTAGCAACTTTGAAAAACAAAAGTTATATATATAAATACAAAAACGAAATTCTTATATATATATTAATATTTTTAGACCGTACCTCGAATAATAGGATATTTAAAAATAAATCAAAAACAGTTAATTTTCAATAATAATTTTAAATTATTTATATATATAAGAGTTTCATTTTTATATTTATATATATATAACTTTTGTTTTTCAAAGTTGTTAATTCGAAATATCCTTTTTCCTCTGTTTCTGAGTCAAGAGATGGTATAAATACTGCTTATAAGAGACTAGTTCGATACCTCGCCCAGAAGTTCTTTTGCAAGAACCTCTTATAGAAGATCATCATCTTGAGAAAGTAAGTATTTTTATTTAAAAGTTTCCTTTTGACAAAAAGTTTGACTTATCTTTAACTCTAGATAAAAGTAAATCTTCGAAATATTTTCAAGTTCATTGACTTATGATACATATATATTAGAATAATATGAGAAACAAAATCTTAGGGAGTAGGTGCGAAGAGGTGGGGTTTACAAGATACTATATAACTTATTTCTGAAATATGAATAATTTAAAGTCGGCAAACTGAAGAGAAAAGTTCAGCAAAATTCATTTTTATAATGAATCTATTATTTTAAACAAATTAACAGTTAGAGATAAGAATTCGGCAATTATTTTGTAGGGTTTATATCTCTCATATGAAAAACAAAATATTAAAGAATTACAATCGGAGGTTCATTCTCTTGGAGTTTAATATTCATTAAACTCTTTCTTAATTATATTTACATAAATACTCGTTAATATAAATTTAAATGTATAAAAATTAATTAAAATATATTTAAAACTAATCTAATTGTACATACTNTATAATTTATTATAACAATTTTGTTTATAATTTTAACACGGTTAACAGAATAGATTGTTATACATGTGCGCCTTTGCAAACGAAGTGTCAGTTCCTCAATGAAACTAAAAATTTATTTCCCCCATATTCGATATTATCAGATTAATTCTATTAACACAAATGTGCTCGATCGATAGACGAAATGATCGTTAAATTGTCCACAAACTGCGTAATTAGTCGAACGAAAAAGCTAAATACACATCGTCCAGCTTGAATTGTCTCGACTTACGACAAACCATTCATGTCGTAATATAACGACGCATATTTACGATGTTTTCAGGCATTTGGTTATTATGGACTTGAATTATTTCGGATTACAAAATATTTCGTTCATGATCTCAGACATTACTTGATTTGAATACTTTAAAATGTGTTTATAAAACGAATTTGATTAACTAATACTCAAAAATATAATTTGAAAACAGATAATAACCCAATAAATTTACNATTACCTTATTGTTGTAAAATTTATTCTTAAAGTTTGTTGATATCTCACCTCGCTTTAAATTATTATATGAGTTCATAATTTAAAAAAAAAAAAAAACGAAAATGTCTATAATCGGAGTTTCATTTTATAAATTTAATATCTTTAATTATAGTTTATCAGTTAAACCATATAGTAATCCAAAGATTAATGAGTTTGTTTGATCACACAGTTTAAATTTGATTTAAACAAAAATACTTTTTTTAAATATTATTATTATTGCTACTGTACAATTTGAGTTAAATTCTTATGCTTTATAATTTTTTACTTTCATTTCACTTTAGTAACTAAATTTTTTTTTATTTTAAAAACATAAGTTTCATTTCAATTCAATTACAATATAAATTTTAAGAATTATATTTTTACAGATTTTACATTAACATTTTGATAAAATGAATGGAATAATTGAATATAATCGTGTTATAATATCAAAAATAGGAAGACAAGACCTTTGGTATATCAATAAACATTCAATATGATTAGTAAAAAATATTTATGTATGAAATCTTTTTGTTATTTTCTTATTAAACATAAAATAATACTAATTTTAATTTTATTAATACAAAATCACAGAATGCGATTCTAATAGATTTTGGAGCATTTCAAGTTATCCACAGTTGGCTATAAAACATTTCACTGTCCTATAGAAGCTGTAATGTACATTTATATAGATTCTGTTAAAAAGTATCAATTATCAGCGAAAGATCAATGGCAAGTCGATTTTCTACCAAAAAAATTCATGGATTAAAGTTTATAGACAAAAAACATCGGATATAACTGGTTGGAGTGAACATAGTAATTTACAAAAATTATTAAATCATTTCACTACGTATAACGAATTATTTTTATTTAAAGGTGGACAGATGGAAAAAAAATATTTTTAAAAACTGTTACTGCAATTATTTAGACATCGAACTTCTTTTGATGTCTAAGATTGAATCATATTAAAAAATTTGTCATTACCACAAATATTTAAAAAAAATTGTTTTCTTTCCGATATTTAATAAATAAGTAACAAATGTAATTTAAATAATTATTATATTGAACTATTTCTTTATTTTACTTTGCCTTATTGTTATAATATTATTTTAAGTTGTCGTGTTTTAATTTACTTGGATATTAGAACAAATTGTAAAAATTATTATTGTAAATTAATTTTATAATAATTAGAAAGAACTCATGTGAGTGATGTCATGCACACTAATTCTATGACAGTTCTCCACACTTTTTCTCGGCACTTACATGCAACTCCTCTCACACTTCATAAGGCTGGCTTCTTATACGACTGCCTGTTTTGCATATTTCGCGACACGTAACCATGATTGATAGTAACGTAACATATTTGCNAACAACGATATGCTTTGTGGAAAGTTGATCTTTCACACATTTGCCATTTCTGTTACAAATTTTCTCTCAGGTGTTATACATGAAGTTTAAAACGTTATAACTGATAATTAAATTAATTTGAGAAATTTTCAAACATACTTAATGAACGAATTGTATTCGTTTAGAAACTCGATACTTCTCTTTATGCATTGTTCTAACAACTCTTTGTTATGATCAGCACGTGTAGAAATAACATTTCATTTATAATGTACAAACTTTTGATATTCGGTTAATTGATAAACAATCAAAATTTGGAATGTTTCGTGTTCCTTGTATTGAAGTTGACTCGAACATTTTAAAAATTTCATCAGATATAAACTAGCTTTATATTATTTAATAGAGATATTACATTTGAAAATGTTATTTGAAAAATGAAGAAATATATCTGAAACTGAATTTTCCATACCTGCGCATTGCAGACATATATTCCTGATCGTTCGTAGTCTGAGAATGTAGAGAAACTCCTACTGCAATGTCTACATAGAAATAAATTGATATTTATATTTTTTTAAATAAATAAACATACGTCGTTTGTAAATGATATTCAGTTCCCGGAAGGCATCGAAGAAGAAAGAAGTTTCAGAAACAAAGAAGAAACAAAAAAATAATCATTTAGGCCATACAAAAATGACTATAATCAGATTTAGCTTTAATTGCTGTTAGTAGTAGTGGTTTGGGCAGCTTTGATCACAAAATCAATTTCAGATGTCGATTAAATTAAAATTGCACATAAAAATTTGTTGAATAAAATTATTTCAGATCACAAAATTAATTTTACAATACATTTCCTAAATAAATTTGAGTGGCACTAATCACAAAATTAATTTTTTAATCACAACAGTAATTTTTACTCAAAGGAAATAATTTGTATGTTAAGAATATTCAAGTAAATTTTTAAAATATGAAAAAATTAAATGTTTTAATATCTAATAAAATTAAAACACAATAATTGTATGAAATAATATAACACATAGACAAATTTTTTTACTTTTTACACAAATAGGTCAAACAAGTTTTACTTTAAGCTTTTCCAGTTTTTTTCATTCACCTTATCTAATACATTTCATATTCCTGGTCTAATTTCTGTTAATTTATAAATTAAGATTACAAATAATATGTCGAGTAATAGTTTTATTACCAATACTAGAATTAATTATTTTCTTCATGAATGCTTGTCTTAATATTCTCGACGACAGTTTGAAATAATATAACACTGAAATTATTTTAAAAAGGTTTTTATTTTTACGTTATAGTTTATTAAAGTGTTTTCACTTTTTCTTTCAGTTTATCTAAATTAAGACATTTCAGATCAAGTGACCAGCAATAATAATTTTAGTATTTAGAAAACTTCTCAATTCATTTCATTTCTATAGCTTTCATAAACTATCTTGAAACAATAAAACAAAGTTTAATATATTCTTTGCTATAATCATTTCAGATATAATAATTTCAGAATTAATAGTCAGCAATAATAATTTTAGTATTTAGAAAACTTTTTAATTCATTGTTGGTTGATAGAACTAAGTTCAATGGAAAAAAGTACTTTGAAGCTGATAATCATATAGTATTCAGTGAAGCTCTTAGAGTGAGTAAATACTGCCGTCCTTCCGGTGGAATTTTACTTCTGGTGAAAAAGACTTTTGGGCATATCATTTACCAACATACTGCGTTTAACTACATAGTCGCAATTATTAAATTAAATGAAAAGCTCAATTCTCAGATTGATGAGTATCACCTAGGTATTATAGTTACGTATCTCGCTCCTTCTAGTAATAAAAAGTCTATCCTCACCGCAATTAAACATTATATAAATAGATGGGCTTTTTTAACTCAGAGTTAGATCATTGGTGGAGATTTTAACTCCCGTATTGGTGAAAATATGGATACTAAATTTTACCGAAAGTATGAAAATATCAGTAATACATGAAAATCTAAAGATAAAAAGTTTAATTGTGAAGGCAAAACATTGCTGGACTTTGCGCAAGAAAATCAACTCATTATATCGAACGGCAGATTAAATGGTGACGTCCCGGCTGAATTTACCTATTTATGCAATAATAATAAGTCAATAATTGATTATGTGATATGTTCTGAGGTTTTGGTAGATCAGTGTATGGCCTTAACAGTTTTAGATGAAGACTTATCTGATCATTTCCATTTGCAGCTTGAAATACAAAATGATAAATCTATGTTAAAATGTAGTGGAGAGACTCAACTACTAAAAAACAAAAAGAACTATAATCTAAAGTTTAATACACAGCTATGGCGTAATTCCTCCGAATCCATAACAAATGATCTTCTAATGCTAGAAAGAAATAATAATCCAATTACAAACTATCGGAGGTTGTTATCTAAACTATTTGAATGCCAGGTCAAGTATCGTTATACGACCAGAAATGTTAAATATAAAAATTCTTGTTTGATGATTGTTGTTATCGACATAAAATTATTAAACAACGTTGCCTAAAAACGTTTAGGAAAACTAAGTCATCTGAGGATCAATATAAGTATATAAATAGTAAGAAAACTTACATGAACTTAATAAGAGCAAAAAAAAACGTCATTTGTTTAATTTAAATAAAACATTAATGGAAGTAAGAAATTCGAGCACATTTTGGAAAATCATTAATGACTATCGACATAAGAGACAAGGGTATACCAAGCAAAGAATTATTAGTGATGAGGATTGGTTTGATTATTTTCAAAAATTTTTGGATGAATATTTATATAACCAGGCGAATATTCACATTGAAGATTTGACAGTTCTTCACATAAAACAAAATGAAACTTTTGATGTTCAGGAAATTCAAGAATGTATTAACAAATTAAAAAGAAAATCGGCTCCTGGATCAGATGGCATTCCTAATTCTATAATTAAACTTTTGCCTTTCAAATTAATACAGTATTTGAGCAGAATCTTTAATAATATTTACTCTAGTGGAGAAATTCCATTAAATTGGAAAGAGGCGATTTTATCTATGATACACAAACATGGTCACAAAGACAATCCTGCAAATTATCGACCTATTGCGTTATTATCAAACTTCAGAAAGATTTTCACAGCTATTTTAGCCAAAAGATTGAACATGTGGACAAAAACAAATAATCTACACAATCCTACTCAATATGCTTATGTAGCCAATGGGGGCACGCAAAAAGCCTTATTTGTTTTAATGACATTAATTCAACTGCAGTTATTAAAAAAAAGAAACAAAGTTTTTGCTATTTTTCTGGATTTATCCAAAGCATATGATTCAATATGCACAAAACTGCTTCAAAATAAATTACTTAAACATGAAGCTAGTAAACGATTAGTGACCTATCCATCCCGCTAGATGGCGGGCGGTTTTAATCGTTTTTTTTATTGTTAATATTTAATGTTTAATATTATGATTGAAGAGAGTTGGCAACACCAAGACAGTGGTGTTAAGTTCCAAAAAGGTGCGAGAACATAGCGGGATGCTCTTCCTATCGAATTATTGTATATAGTCGATTTGTTGGTTTTTTGTGTGAATAAAATTTAAAAGGACGAACTTGGTGAACTTTTCTTAGTTGGAGATACGAAGGGAACCTCGTGTACGAACAAGACGGTCAGGTGAGTCTTACGAAAATTAATTAATCATCAAATGAGACAGGAATCGGCCTGACGCGACAATTAGTAAATATTATTGGTCAACTTTATGGCAATTATAATGTTATAATTAAACAAAATAACGTATGTGGAAATCCATTTTCAGTTTGCAGGGGATTGTTACAGGGTGATCCTCTGTCTCCTTATTTATTTAACTTTTACCTATTTAATTTGAACGATTGTTTTACGAATGAAAATGACGGAATATATATTGAAAACATTTGTATTCATTCATTATCCTATGCAGATGATATAGTCATTGTTGCTCCTTCTGCAGTTGCTCTTCGACGTAAAATTTTACAAATAACTGAATATTTAAACAAGTTGTAGGTCAAAATTAATCCAAATAAATCTGAGGTTATGATTTTCAGAATCGGAAATAGAATGTCCAAAAAAGTCATGTCTTTCTATATTCACGATGAAAAATTAAATATTGTTGACGAAAAGAAGTTTTTAGGTCTTATATGGACCTTTAATTTGTCTTTTGAAAAACACTGTAAATATATTATGGTTAAATCTAGAAATCTTTTGAATAATTTGATAATTTTGTTTTCTAAAGCAAAAAT